TTGCAAGCGCAACAACAAGAAAACTTATTAAGTTTTAAAGTATCACCCGAATGGGTTAATAACCTAACCGTAAATATTGCAATGATTCATATGTATACATTGTAAAAAATAATTTTAAAAAAGCAATATCTAAAAAAAGATATTTTTTAAATATTATTAAATTATTATTGACATTCAGCGACAAATTGTTTTTTTTTTTCATTGTTAGAAGCTGGATGTCTCTGACACTGAAATAGGATACGCATGTTTACACGAGTTATTAGAATGTTTTTTATGAATTAACAACAGTAGAAAGGAAAGTGTATAAAAAAACAAAAATTATTGATAAATGCAATAAATTATTAATAATCAAATAAGTACCTTTATTAGGAATCGATAAGAAGTACCGCATTTGCACGTTACTTCCAATTTATATGGATAAACTTCACAATAGCATGAATCCATTTTAAATTTATATAAGGCACCGCACTTGCACGTTATTTCACGTTTATTTTGCACGTTTACTTAGCCATATTTTCCGCGAGGATGTCAGAATTCGTCACTCGCTTGGAGCGGATCTTGTCCCTTTAAAGGAAAACATAAATCATTTCTTTTCTTCTCGAAACCTCTTTAACAATGCACTTTAGATTAACAATGACGCTATAAAAATCGTAAATCTCGCGCGACATTGCAACTAATTATTTGCATCCTAGACAAAGGGCACTACGCTCTTTTTTCGGGGTATAAATAGAGGTCCCGCGGAAGCGCAGAGCGTCAGTACATCAAATCATCTAACCCGGTCCACATCACCTCGCGTTAGTACGAAAGTTTAGATTATATAGTTCACATCGGTTCGCGACCGTAATAACGAGAACTCAATTTATTCGAGTCAGTTCGCGCAACAACCAGTGACTTGTCTCAATAGTCACCTGACCCTTGGTGCTCTTCGAGACCACCCAACCGCCGCTTGCTATCCTTCTGGTGCTCTTGCACGGACAGCGGACTTCACCGACAACCGATTATCCACTAGAGTTTTGCAGAGCTAGTACCCCACGCAGCATAATAAGTAAGTCAGTCTGGCATCACACCCGTTTATCCACAAACGTTTCTGTGTGGTCGTACATGTATATATATATATGGCCAGTGCACATTAACATAATTAATTCATGCACGTACAAGGTCATCTGGTTAATTAATTCGAAAAATCCGGTCACAGTAAAAATACACTTAGACGCGATAAACGTAAAAGTAAAGGGCTTGCAGTTCAGTAAATGAAAAAGTCGGGGTTTTGAAAATCTCTCCCCAGGTCACAAAGATAAAATAAGTAACAAATTCGGCGTTACAAACCTACGTCGTAAAGAGTTTGATTTTCTTCTATAGTCATTCGGAAGTTAAGTCAAATAGATCTCGAATTATATATATATAAACATTGATACACTCGCGACAAACAAAATATGTAGAAAGACGTGATAAAGGTGTCGCCACACGTTTGCAATTCTTAGAAAGAGGAGGAGGGGTTACGCCCTCTTCAATTCTAGAAGTATTACCATATACGTCACAATTTACGTGGATGCAATTAGTCTTGCAATATCCGTTTTTACAAACGGTTGAAAATGTACTTCGCCAAAGAGAGCAACGCATCGTACGAAACGAAGGCCTGTAGTAACACGTAAGTTTCAACGTTCTATACATCAAAAATAAAAAACGTTTTCAAACATTACGTATGTACACAGCATGGAGCATCGCGCGGTGCGTTTACTTAGCAGACGTTACGACCTAGCGACTACGGGTTACAAGTTTTTGAAAATTGGAATCAACGTTGGTCCACCGAATTACATGGAGATCGCCCTGGGAGATCATCGCGGACAGGAACTGTCGCTGTCTCTCGTGGAAGGGTCAGAATCGTATACGTCCTGTTCCAAATAGCGCATGACAAAAGCTTTCGATCGAGTTAGACTAACGAACATCGTGGAAATCTTCAAGGAAAAGTAAGTGCAACATTTTTGTATGTAAACTTTTTCTTTGGTGGTCAACTCATTGTATGTGTATAGTTAGGTATGCTGTCATACACGTGAAGCTTTTGATACCATCAAAAATATACATCGCCAATAATCGTTACAATTCCCTCCAATTATTTACAATATTATTTACAGTATATATACAATAGTTTTGTCGCTATGACTAGCTACAATCATATGAGGAAATTCTAGACACAGTGTACACTTTGCATTTCAAAAAAATAAATTCTCTTATAAGTCGTACGAATCTAAAGCCCAGTTTATATAAAACACAGAATGCAGATCGCAGGTCACAAGACTAGAAACTAACCTAATATTTTTTAGTTATAATAGGTTGCAAAACGCAGATTGCAGAAAATTGGGTGAACTTCAACTTTCGCGTCCTGCGTCCTACGTATTGCGGCCTATTATATCTGAAATACGTTTCACTTGCGACCTGCGACTTGCATTCTGTGTGCTGTGTAGATCGTGTTTAATGATTTTACTTTGCTGTTTACAGGTGATACCGAGAAAACTCTGTCCTGCCGAGCGTACTCGGTCGCCGACCAGCTGCAGTCCTTGCGCTGTTGCACCGACGGGATACTCTCCGGGGCCAGAGCGTACTCTGCCCCCGCCGAGCTTTCTCGGCCGCCGACCAACTGTCGCATTTTTCTCGCACCGCGCCAGCATAGTAAGGGGATAGAGCTCTGTCTCCGTCGATCCTCGACCGCCTGGTGCAAGCACCTTCGCCTTACTCACGACAATAGCCCGGAGTGGAATTTTCTCCGCCTTCGCCGAGAGTTCTCGGCCGTTGGTTATCGGCGTTATCAACTTCGCGCTCTTTGCGTTACTGCGTCAAGACCTGTCGAAACATCGCGCCGCGCCCGCGTTCGGGATTCGTGCCTGGTGTGTACCCGCGTCCACGCCGACCAATCAGCTGCACGCCGTCGCGCACAGCAGATTGCCGAATGCACGTATCATACATTATCACCGCGCTACGATAAAAGTTATATAATTCGGAGGGATCCCCCTCCGAACAATACAATTTTTGTTGGAAACATTTTTCCGTATCTACCATAATTTTCGAGAAATCTTAATGCATTATTTGAAATGGGACACCCTGTGTGTGTGCGGGTGTGTGTAGAGTGTATCTGAAATAACGCCCACTAATCATATAGTGCTATTCCTAATAAAAAACTGAATCAAAAAATCCTCTATCATTTTGCAATTTTCGCAATACTTTTTTTTAATTACCCAATGAGTAAAATATCTAAAATCGACGTATAAGACAACTTTAGATTAGAGTCCTAGATATAACAGAGAAGCGCAACCGCTGTCTCGATTTTTGATTGGTCCCGCCATTTTTTCTGCGGATAGTTTTTTAGGACTCTAATTTCGATAAGTATCATTATTTTTAAATCTTGATATATAAACTGTAGTCTCCAATGAGAATCAATTTCTTTGTAGTCAGTAGAAACACTACTGTTATAGGAATCGCACTCCGTTTGCAGAATGACAGATGTAAACACAGGTCGCCATTTTTTGACGATTAATTATAATCTTTAAATATGCTCGGTTGCGCTTTTCTGTTATATCTAGGACTCTACTTTAGATATCTTTAAAAATTCTTTAAGAAACATCTTCAAAATATCACAAGGAACACTGAAAAATATCTGAAAATTGTCTTATACATCAATTTTATCCATTTATTCGGCAATCTTTAGAAATTAATATCTCGTTATCTATTACCAAAATTGCAAAATGGTAGAGAACTTTTCGATTCAGTTTTTTTATTAAGAATAGCACTGTATGGCCGTGGTCCGAATCATGCTGCCAACGCTCATGAGCATTGTTTGTCTTCGTTTAACATTTGACAAACAACAAGGATGAAATGATTTTTAAGCGTTGTGAGCGTGTATCGGACCGCGGCCTATGATTAGTGGGCGTTATTTCAGATGCACTCTGATACTTTTCTCAGAATCAAAAGCCCATCCACCCAAACTCTTTTACAATATTAGTAAACGCACGACCTCTCCTTTTGAATGAGCTATGGCTCATTCCATTTAGTATTTCATAATTCTTGCCTCTCTTTATTGGAGTTACGACTTGACAACGTGTCAAGGTTATCGACGTGGGCGCCCTCCAACCTGCATACAAGCTGTATCAAAAAGCTGAGATTCCAGCAAACGAGAAGTTATTAAAAAATATTGAAAATTATTCATTCAAGCGATATCGAATCAAGTTTTTGAATTTTTAAAATCCTTTTTCTATATCTGTAATCCGCTTGAATCAAGTAATTACGGATTAGTTATTTACTTTCTGTATTCCATCTAATGTGCATAGAAATGAAACGTGCGACTAATCCAGTTGAATTCGTAATTACGTATTGCTAATTTATTTTGGTATCTTACTTAATGTTCAACGCAATGAACGTACGATTAATTTGTTTCAATTTAACGTGCGGTATTGAAGAACTGTAACAAAGAAGACCCACCAACTAGTCGTCGATCGCAGCAAGTGATATATCATTAAAAAGCATGCATCGAGGTGAGTTATACGCAAGTTTTTGCCTCCTGAACAAACCACGATGTGATATACAAAGTGTATAACATTGCGGATCCACGGCGACAAGATAATTTCTAGACATAACCCTAATCACGATAATGCAGATTATATTCGGGAGTCGCGCCGTAAATCTGTAATGTTGTATACTCTATGTATAGTACTAAGGTTCATTCGGGAAGAAACGCATCATATATTTATGATCGTCTAAGTACATGCTTCCCAACGATACATCACTTTCTGGGATCGCAAACTAGCATATTTTCATTTCTGAATCTATATGAATCCACTAGAGTCCATATTTATTATATTTATCTAGACGTATAGAAACGGATTCAGTGTACACAGTCTCTACAAAATTCAGTACCTTTTTCGCGGATAACGCGAATTCGAAAACTTGAATTATACGTATTTATCCAATTCAATCCATTCTCGTTTGCTAGGACACTCTGTTTTGTGTGTGTTTGTACTCTGTAACATATTTTTAATCTCATACCTTCTGTTTATCATTTAAATTATTTAATGCCTTTTGAACCAATACTCCTAAGTTCCTTGGAAGACTCATTTGTATCGACTGCAATTGTTGCATAATTTGACTTTCAGGCGATGAGCTACATTGTATATTATCTTCATTTGTTACAACATTCTTCTCCTCGATATTATGTATACTGCTGTTAGTATGATCCAAATTATTGAAGTCGCTATCACCTATAAAAATTAAATATAACAATAGGGGTATATACATATACTATATGGTGTATGTATATGCAAAGTGTCCATTTTTAAAGACGATCTCAAATATCTCGTGAACAATACATTTTACAGAAATACATGTACCAAAAGTTTTATGACTTCAAGGGGGACATAAGAAAGTATCATTGGTTTGAACTTGAATGGTATTGTCAAGGTCAGGGCAAGGCCACTTTAAATTTTTCAAGAGATCCCCCATTTTTTATTATATATTTTGGTAGCTTATTTCAAAAAGTCCGAAAAAACCATATCAGGCTAATTTCTTGAAAAATACGCATTTTCTTGAAAAATGTTTTAGACAAAAATTGTAGGGTTTTAAGGGACATTTCATGTTATTATGAGTATGACCTTAAATACCATTATCAAGGTCACATATAAAAATCATGTGGAAATTTGTTAACGGAAACTACTATTTTTTTATTACATATTCTTGTAGTTGACGTCAAGAGCTTTTTAAAACGCTATAAAGTTATTTTTCAGTAAAAACTTTCCAAGTTATAAAACTTGGAAGTTATGGCTCCTCCGCACAGAACGCGGCAACATTTGCCGCGCGGCGGAAGTTGGCGCGATAACCAATTAACGTCTCACTTGTTCGGAAGTACTAAATATATAATTTCCATCGCGCGATAAAAGTTGAACTCAATTCAACTTTTATTGCGCGGCAGAAGTAGTATTACATTATTTCTAGAAGTTTTGCAAGGTGAGGTCGAAGAACTTAAGAACATGGAATTATTGGCTAGTGTGACAACTTTTACGGGATTAAAGTAGACGCAAAATTGGGAGGCGCTGCAGTAAACTTTATACTAAAATAAAAAAAAAACGTTAAAAACTTACAATTTTTAAGCTTGAAGAGCTCTCTCTTGACGTAGATGTTTCTTTAATACAAAGTTTTATAGCTTGTGTGCATAAAATGACAGTTCAACACCCAGCGTTTTACATACACAAACAATACTGAGTTTATGAAAATAATTGTAAAATTGTAAGCTTAAAAAGAAGATTTATATCGATCTGTGCAAATTACGTGAATGCTGAGCGAAGACTCGGAATGATAAACAAAGCAATAATTGTGTCTAGCTGATGTTCGATCTTGCAAAAGATGGAATTACAATGTTAAATAAAGATAGATGTATGCGTTTAAGTGAGACAGAACGATAATGTAAAAAATGAATTAAAAATATTACTATTATTGACTTTTTTACTTGGAATTTAAAAAATCTGTACTATCGACCTCGATCAAGTTCGGCCGTCACTCTAGCATGCTTTAAATAATACATATGTTAGTAGCAACATCAAAGATTACAATTGTCTAGTTATACGTACATCTCAAATCAACATTGGTACTTGTGTATCCTTCCAAAAGCTTCATGGTTGGTGACTGTACAGCACTATCCAATTCACAAATTCTCAATGCCAATATTCTGTAAATAACGTGTGCAAGTTAATCTATCGAAATGCAAATATATAAATGCATCTAACGTTGAACTATTTACTTATTCGCTTTCTTCTGATGAGCCAGAGCTAAAGTTTTGTCATTTAAAGCCTCTAATAAGGCAGTGCAAAGGCACCGTAGATCAGTAACGGCAGCAGCAGATTTCTGGGGAGGTATATAAGAACTTTCTTGAAGAAGCTGTTCGACTAAAAAATATAAATATAAATAAAAATATAAATATATAAATTTCTCTCCCTCATGCCTAGTACTACACGCTTGTGAGTGCTGTTGCAACGTATATATTTTACCTTGCTTGTGAGTCATCACTGTTCCAACTGCAGAATTTACGCCCAACTTGATAGTTCCTTTAGCCCTTTTACTATCTAGCATACTCTACAAAAAAATTAATCATCTGATATAAAAAATAGTTACAAAAAAGGAATGCGTAATATAACTTCAATTCACTGTCAATCTACCTTATACTTTGACAGAGATTGACGAGTGAGCTCCTTCTCCTCAAGTAATTGCTGCAATCTTTCTTGCAGATATCTAGAATATTTACAATATAAGTAGAACTAATATCCTGATTCTATAACTTTTAATGACAGTTTGGTATTGTTATATGACTTATTGTAGAAAACCCATAATATCTTCCTGAGATAGGAGAATAAAAGGAGGAGAATAGGAAATAGAATCTAAATTATTTATTAAAAAACGACAATTACACATTCTTGATTACCTATTTTCATTGATAAGAGCATCCAAATCAACTGGTTTGGTAGCATTCAAAGCTTTAGACAGTTCATGATTCAAACGATGTGCCTTACATTTGAATGCATCCATTTCCATCTTCAGCTCATGTTTCTCATCCAATACTGTTTGTAGATCTGTTTGCAACTGTGAACACTATGGACAAAATTAATTTCATTAAATGGCAGTTCTTTGTCAAAACATAAATCAATCCAAGGAATTAATAACTGGTAGTGAACATGAGATAAACCAATAAATAAAAAATGATTGTGCATTAATACAGAAATATCAACATTTATTACTCCTTAAATCAAGTGAATCAATTACTATGAAAATAAAGAAAGTGTGATAAAAAATCAAACATTTCACTGGGATAAAAAAATAATTTATGAAATCAGAAAATTTCAGAATCCTACCTTTCATAAGAGGGCTTATTACAGTTCTTTACAGTTCTTTAATTATGAATCTTGAAAAATTACAAAGATGAATGATTTCACTAAGTGTTGATCCCCCAATGAAGTTATAAATATAATTTAACAATAGTAAATTCGCTTAATTTTACCTTGTTTCAAAAACAGTAATAAGCCCTAAGAAATAAAATACCAATCTAAAAAATAGAAATAATAACTGCTCAGTACTTCTACAGTCCTAGATAATCAGACCGTTCCAGTGGAAAAGATAGATAGATTTCTAGAATGTTTTAATTCATTTCACCCTAGGTTACGATTTACATTAGAAATAGATGTAGATTCTTTAAATTTCTCGATCAAGGTTGAAGGAGAATATCTGTCATTTGACTGGTATCAAAAACCGACGTTTTCGGGAAGATTTCTGAATTATCTGTCAAATCATCCAATCTCACAAAAAAGAGGGATAATCTGCAATCTGGTTGACAGGGCTTTTATCAGATAAGATTTTTCATGAGAAAAATCTCAAGTTAATAATTAATATATTGATTGACAATGATTACCCATTAAAGTTAGTCTTTGATACCATCAATGATAGAATACGTAACATAAAACAGGGTGGAATGAAGACGAACGACAACAGTAATCATAACGAAGAATCAAAAACCATGCTTCTTTAATTCTAGCTTACCTTTAAATTTAATTTCTCCAATTGCTCTATCATCTCTTCTCTTTGATGCATAGCTGGTGCTAATTGAGTTTCCTGCTGTTCAATTGGTATACGATTATTATTTGTACGTAACACCTTGATATCACCTTCAGCATCTGTTAGCTTCTGCCTTAATGTTTCAACTTGTAGCCTGAGGCATTTATTTTGTTCACGCGCTTCTGTTAATAAATCCAAGGTTCTAAAATCATCGTTGAAACTGTAATTTATTACAAAAGTTAATGAAAAAATTATGAAACAGTCTTGAAGTAATGTTATCGTATTATAGACTTGAATTAGATACCTGTTCAGCTCTTTCATATCACACATCTGTTTCTTCAAATGTAGAAACCGTTCCTGAATTTGTTCAGCCATCAGTTTGAATTGGTCTCGTTCTATCCTATTCTGATCCATTTCCTTGCTTAACAACATGAGCGCTTCTGATTTCATTTGTAATTTTCTCTTTAGCATTGCCTGCAAACATACCTCAAATATAGCTATGAATATAAACTAATGAATTGAAAGCAAACATTAATTTACTTTTGACTCCGTGTCAATATCGTTGGAGCCAATTTCTTTGAAAGGGCTCGTCTTTTCCTCCATATCGTTCTTAATTAAAAATTATATCATAAGAAATAATGAGCGTTTTAACAATTGAACTTTTGAAAATTGAATTTTAATGAAGATACAAATTCTATGAATTATTTTGCGATGAGATTACAGTCGAATTCGGCTATTTTCGTAGATACAATTCGGAGTAATTATTCAGTTGAACTTCTTGACGACTAGCGTTAATAAAATTAGCCTCATTCGACGTTTTTGCTCCAAGTAAAAACGAATGGCAGAAAAAAAACTGGAAAAAACTTTCACTCCGTCCCGCAAACCGTAAAAGATATTAATTGTAACTGATATTAATCGTAGAATAGACGACTATTCAGGTTAGAATCATGATGAAAGAGAGAACATGAAGGAACGTGCGATTTTTACTGATTTATCAATATGAATGATTTTTTTTTGTAAAACATTCGGTTATTTCAAGTTCTTTTTGACTAATATTTTTAGAGGCTGATTCATAGATACTCAGTTTTTTTTTAAGTGATATCGTAACGTTCGCAGCTACCCGAAAACATAAAGGTGCATTCAGCTCACTAAGCGCTCAGTGAGCTCTTGCATCTGATTGGCATATTCTGTTAGATCTAAAAATATAGACCAAACAAATACGAGAACTCACTGAGCGCTCAGTGAGCGGTTATAGTAAGGGCCTGCGCACAATAGAGGAACAAGAATTAGATATTAAGATTTCAACCTATCAGAAACCGTGTATTCCGATGTAATCAGTTTCTGATAGGTTAAAATCTTAATATCTAATTCCTGTTCCTCTATTGTGCTCAGGCCCTAAAGTTCCCATAAGGCGTCGTCTACAATACACGGAGTAAGAAGTAAGAGTAAGAAATTGACCAATCACAGTCGAATGTGAGAAGAATAATCGACTGTGATTGGTCAATTTCTTACTCTTCTTACTCCGTGTATTGTAGACGGGCCTTTAAGACCAATCACAGTCGAATGTAAGAAGAATAATCGACTGTGATTGGTCAATATCTTACTCTTACTTCTTACTCCGTGTATTGTAGACGGGCCTTTAAGACCAATCACAGTCGAATGTGAGAAGAATAATCGACTGTGATTGGTCAATATCTTACTCTTACTTCTTACTCCGTGTATTGTAGACGGGCCTTAATGAGAGCCAAGACATGAGGGGCGACGCCTTCGTGATTGGTCGTCGCCATTTCTAGGCGCTTTCAATGTGTTAATGAATCTGTGAATTGGTGCGAGCAACTGTTTCATGGTGTAGTAGTACAAACAGGCGTAAACGCGTCTATTGCTGCATTCACCCTGCATCCGATTTGCGTCGTACGACACTCTGCAACCAATCAGAAAACAGGATTCCGATGATACGAAGCAAAATCCATCGGAATCCTGTTTTCTGATTGGTTGCAGAGTGTCGTACGACGCAAATCGGATGCAGGGTGAATAAAGCATATTTGTGCCACGCGTAATTTGTGCTGTTTCCGGCCGGCGCCCAGCAATGGCGTCCTTCCGGTCTTATGTCTTGACTCTCATTATAGGAACTCTAGAGTCTAGGTTATAGTACTGAATGCACCCATAGAGAATGGACTGCGCGATCCGTATCTAGGGCAATGTTCCAAAACTTCCTCTCCGAGGAAAATTTTAGAATCGAAATATATAGTACGTCTAACGTATACTACAGCATATAAAGTAAAATCTTTCTCGAAGAGGAAGTTTTGGAACATAGCCTAAGTAATGTATCCAATGTGGTCGGCAATAATGAGAGAGAGGGACCGTGGGAGACGGCTAATCTTCCTCTCATTCTCTCTCCCATTACACCATTGAATGGAAAGAGATAGAAATGGCCGTCTCAGCCGTCTGCCACGGTCCCTCTCTCTCATCCCTATCGACCATTTTCACACACGGACGCGCAGTCCAGCGCAGTCTATTCTCTATGTCTAGTAGATGAACGCTATAGGTCTGTTTTCTGTGACTGAACTAGTAATACTTATTAGTATACGTTTTTGGAAATTAAAGTGAGATAGATATACGTTTGATATTTGTTTAAAGCGAGAAAGAGAGTTCTAGAATAGTCTAGTCATCTAGTGCAGGAACAGAAAATAGACCATGAATATGAATACTATGATAACAGTTTATGAATACCGGTGAAAAATTATCTCAGGTTCCGAAGTCTAAAGTCCGCAGAGAATAATTTTCCTGAATCATCGTTGGAATTTATCCGCACCAGTCTAAAGTACAAAATATAGGACGTGTTCGGAAGTCGTTTCAAACGAGTTCGTGCCAGTGTGATCTTCGTGATTAGATGATAAGAGCTATTTACCGCGGATCATTATCGGCGTTTATTTGTTTTAGAAGAATAATTGAAGCTCAAAAATGTTGAAGGTACGATTATCATTCAAAAACACTCTTTCGTACTTTTATTTTTATTATAGCAATTTAAAAGGTTTTATATCTCTGATGGACTGCAGTATTTTTATTGTGTTACCCTAGATAGCGATCATATAACTTTTTTCCTAATGGCAACATGAAAAGTGAAATTTTTTGTATAAATGCCATGCATTGTTAAAGTATCCTTTTTCGTTTTTTTCTTTATATTTCCGTTCTTTTTTATAAGTAATATAAAAAAATTACTTTTTTATTGTCATTGTGGCAAAGTGATTGGTTTAAAGTTGCCTCTGAAGTTCTGACAGGGTGGTCTACTTAAATGGAATATGTGCAGATTTTTTTAGATAATTTTTTTTATATTCCTGTAATTATTCTGCATATTAGAATATTAAGATAGAGATATTAAAAAACCAATAGTTTATAAGACATTTTACACTTTATTCCGACACAATTTAACATGGAACATAAAATATCTCGTAAATTATAAATTTTTTGGTGACTATGCCTTAATACTTTTATGCCCAGAATAATAAGATGAATCAATTGGTATACAGAAAACACACAGTTGTTATCAAAATTATGCAATTTACACTGTGCAACTACATATTATTTTAAATAGCAACTGAGTGTTTTCTCCACACCAATTGATTCATCTTATTATTCTGTGCATAAAAGTATTAGGTACAGTTGCCAAAAAATTAATAGATAAAATAATAAAAGAATCATATTATGTAAAAAAATTATATAATTGTATTTTAAAAAGTGGAGGTGACTTTCATATCTTTTTGGATTTGTGGAAAGAAGCCTTCACCTAAACAAAAAAATGTGACTAAAATATGTCCCTTTCGAAACCATCACTTACATTTGAAACATTTTTTTATATTATCAAAAATAAGTGAATTATATATATATATATATTCAAAATGTTCGATTTAAGTGGACCACCCTGTTTATATATATGTAATTTTCACAGCCTATGTATTATATGTATATAGGGTACATTTCAATATTTATTGTCACTTTTAAAGCTTCATAGTACACGTTACACACACTATAGATTTTCGTTGTTGGCAATGAACATCGGAATACAGCTTTAAAAGCTATGTTAAACAATTAGCAAACATTTCGAATAAAGTTGTTAATTATGAGACATTTATATTCAAAAAGAATAATTTCTCCGATATATTTTTATCTGAAATGTCAGATTTGGAAATAATCGCTGTAAAAGTTGACAATTGTATGTTAAAACTGATGATGAGATTTATTTGTAATAAAAATTGATAAATATTTCTTTTTATTTATTACAGGGCACTGTAGCTTTGGTGACTGGTGGTGCTTCTGGGCTAGGACGTGGCACTGTGGAAAGGTTTGTCAAGCAAGGTGCTAAGGTAATTGTTGGTGATTTGCCTGCTTCAAAGGGTAAAACTGTAGCCGACGAATTAGGAGAAGACAATGCAGTGTTTGCACCTATGGATGTATGTATAATGTTTAAATATAATTATTTTAATGTATAGTTGTGCAATCTCTTGTCAAATATAATCTTAATATATGGAACAGAATACATTTTACGATCTTTAAATGTGTTCTTTATTAGATTATTTATCAGAAAGAAATTTTGATCTCTAGCAGTATAATACCTATACATAATGGGACCCCAAGCTATCGATTGAGCCTATTAAAAATTTCGTCCGCCTAATTGTTTTTTAGATATGACCATAATGTTTCCGGTCAACTTGACAGTTCAAGTAAAGTTATACCTGTGCCCAGTATGGATGCATATATTGGCGCAAGACACTACCATGTCTCTTGATTTAAAACGTTAAATTATGTGTTATCCAAATTATAATTATCCAAATTAAAAAATTGTAATTACTTGTTCTTTTTATATATCATATATTCTTATCTCTTATTATCTCTCTGTTAAATACTAAAATACACTATCGTATCTCCTAATTTTATTAACTTTCTTCAAGGTAACTTCGGAGTCTGATGTCCAAGCTGCTCTTGATCTTACGAAACAAAAATTTGGTAAGCTTGACGTTCTCGTCAACGCCGCTGGTATCGCCATAGCCTTTAAGACATATAATAGTAATAAAAAACTTCCTCACAAACTGGAGGACTTCGCTAGAATTATCCAAGTCAATACCATTGGTACTTTCAACGTTATTCGCCTCTCTGTCGGTTTAATGGTTGAAAATTCTCCTAATCAAGATGGTCAAAGAGGTGTAATTGTTAATACTGCAAGTGTCGCTGCTTTTGATGGTCAAATAGGGCAGGCTGCTTACTCTGCCTCAAAAGGAGCAGTCGTAGGTATTGTATTTTTATTTTATTCTTTTAACATTTATTATTTAGATATTATAGAGTGTTTAAGAATTAGCCATCAGTTATTCCACAATACACATAATTGTACAATGAATACAACTTGCAAAATAAGAAGCTGAATATTTAAAAAATGATTAACTTGCAGATCCTCATTAAGGGCAATATTCATAGTTGAGTCTTGTATTTAAAATTGTCTTAAGTACGATCTTAAAGTGTCATGAATCAATCAGAGAACCATATTAGCATCTTAAGATATTACTTAAGATGGTCTTAAAATAAGAACAGACTATGAACGAACTAGGTACGGTATAATTCATAGTTGATTCTTATATTTGAGACTGTTGTAAGTACAATCTTAAGATGTCATAAGCCAATCAAAGGATTGCGTAATAGCATTTTAAGACTACTTAAAACAGTCTTGAAGTAAGAACGGACTATGAATACACAGCCCTAAGATTTTTTAGGTTTTGAGTTTTGACCAACTAAGTTTTTACTTATAATTCCGAAACACCTTGTATAT